TCAATGGTTCTGGTGGCGGTTAGTTCTTTGCACATAGAAAAAATGGAGGCGACTGATGATTGTGATTTCACTTAGATCTTGGGAAGGGAGCTTTCAAGACTATTTACAAGGGATTTGATGAAGCTGATGGAATGGAGGTTGCATGGAAGTGGAACCACCCAGTCAATATGGAAGGCACCTGAACAGTGAAGGCACCTGAACAGGAGCTTGAGAGGTTATATTTCGAGATTCATCTTTTGAAGTCATTAAAACATGAAATTATTATCAAAGTTGTACAACTCCTGGTTGGACGATAAGAACCAGACCATCAACATGGCAACCATCTTTTCAAGTCATTTTTTTCTTCAGAGTTTTTATTTTTCATAAAAAGAATCCTTCATTAACAAGTCTAATAAAATCAGTGGTAAGGTCTGGTTCAGTTCTGTTTACCAATGGTTGGGTTTGAGGGAGCTGACGGATGTGAGCCTAAGTGGACATCTCTCTTGGTCGCACGCTGCTCCTGCAACCCCTTAGTGGCCTCAGTTGCAGATCTAGCTTCTATGATACGAATGGGTGTTATTTGGTCGTGTATAGGTTGGTTGATTGGGGTTGTATGTGAAAAGTTGTTGAATGGGGAGCATACGTGCTTCAGGTTCTATATACGCTTGTGACAGAGACCCCATTTTTTAATGTTTGCTAACCTCTTTAATGGTTCTGTCCTTTTTGGAGGTTTAGAGTTTCTTGTAAGAGGCATAAAGGCCCCAAACCAACCCCTGTTTTTCTTGATGGGTTCTGTTGCCCTCATCAATGAGAGCTAACATTTCAAATTAATAATACAGCAGCTTTTCAAAAAACAAAAGGAAAAAAAAAACAATTCAATACAACATAACTCTAGATAATTTACACACATTAATTAACACCATTAACGTAAGTGATAGAAAAGTGCAAGACAAAAACAAAGAAGGGCAACATATTCATTTGAGACTTGTAACAATGGCTAGAAAATGTTCAAGAAATCAGAAACTTGAGACTAGGTTATGGTAGCTACAAAATTCAGGAAGGGTGAATCAAAGCCAAGACTTATATTGTTCTGCTGGACTCTGTTGAATGGAAATGATGCTCTAGAGTCTTAGCTATAA